AAAGCCCTTCTCTCCAGGGAAGAACATGCAAAAATGCTGGTTTTAGCATAACAAAGCAATTGAGATTCGTGGTCTTTTCGTTACGGACACGAAATTCAGCTGTATGCTAACAACAATTTGATTTATTTATTTATTTATAGAATTGTTTGTTATTGTTATTATTTAACTTGATTTGTTATGGTGAAAAATAGAGTGGCTGTTGTTAGTTAGGTCATATTTTTTCGATTGATATGCATACATATAATTTAAATGTCGATATTCTAAAAAATAAAATAAACAAAAATCTGACATTTAATTAATAGAATAAATATATATATTTTTCCTTTAAAAAATATGAAGAAACAAGGCGCCCAACTGTTAATAAGCAACTTCATACAAATAACTTTTCAGGTAACAATTTATTTTATCCAAAAGAAAAGATGAGGCCTTGTTTGGCAATCAGCTGTTAGCTGTTAGCTGTTAGCAGATTGTATTGGCTGTTTTGACCAACGGATTGTGCCAGCTGTTTTGACCAGCGGATTATATTAGCGATTTGTAAAATAGTGTTTGGTAAAATTAGATGTTTATAATTAGCTATTAATTTATAAAATTGCTTATAAGGATATTCACATTTTTTATCATCTTACCTGTGTTAAATTACTTAGAATATTAGTAATAACTATATTCTTAATACTATGTAAAGCAATTCAAATAATATATAGTAAATGTTTGTAAAAGGGTGTTCGATAATTATCAAATTTAATATCATATGTTAATGTGTACAAATATTCATTAGGATATTTATATATTTTAATATTTTTTTATGTTACATTAGTATTTATAAATTATTTTTATTTTTAATATCTACTAAAAAATAGCATAGCATATACGATAATTTAAGCACAAATAAAAGACATGCATCTTTGTAAGCTGCTTGTAATTTTTTGGGCGTCTGTATCAATCTGCCACCAATAACTCTTCTTGATAATTAATTAGACAACAAAATGGACAATTGAATTATTTTTTAAAAAACGCTGCATATTGCAGCGTTTTTGAAATTAACTTTTTCATCCAAAAAGCTAATAGAAATAGCTATTTTACCAAACATCATATTTAGCTGTTAAATATGGTAAAACAAGTACATCCAAAAAGCTAAAAGCTGAAGAAAAAGCCATTTACCAAACACATCCGACGTCAAATATATATTTCAAGTGAATTGACTATATAGCTAGTCACAATGTCACATGTGTTTTCTTACCTTATGTATTAACTTTGGACCCTTTGTTGGATCAAACATGAGGGGCCCTATTTTGTATGTGCTATAGTTATGGAAGGTATAATATAATACTTATTAAATTGGGCAAAAACTCTCAATAATAGAATATGGTGAAATTGACTCAATTTTTAATCTTCATTTCATGTCCCTTGTCACCAACTAATAATCACTTTCAATCAATAAAATAATAACCAACTCCAAAAGTGGGGAAATTAGGCGTATGGAGAATCCCATTGTACATTGTTTATAATCTTTCTTTCTAAGTTGCAATGTTTCTAAGCTTCAATATGTAAAATTAACNTCCAAGGCCTTTACATAAAAGAAAGTTTCAAAAATTTAATTGGTACTATTTGCAAGAAATCATGTTATGTTCTGTACACATGGCCAAAACCCGGGCCCGCCGAGTCGACGGTCTCGAAAATAATGACCCTGAACCAGCACGGATCTATACTCGTGCCGGGTTCGTGTCCGGACCGAATCCGTTACTTTTTTAAAAAACAATAGAAAAAAATAAAAAAAAAAATAGGAAATGAGGGTCACTGACCCGGCCCGACCCGGACCCGCCGCACCAGGTCGTGAAATGTATGATACTATGATCCTTACAAGGCCCGTCTAAAATCCGGGCCGGTCCCAAACCCGTGATCAACGAGTTTGATTGGACCGGGTCCAGGCCGGGCCGTGTCTATTACGTCTGTATTTGATTATCATGTTTTCTTATTATTTATTCCATCCGTAACAAATATTATCCTAAAGCTATGCAATTAATTGACACGAAAGATAATCATCAGATCATGAACGTTCAATGATTGTCTGAGGAATACTCATGACAAGTTATTTTATTTTATTTTATTTTATTTGTATTTCACACCGTATTTCGTATCATATTTACCATATCATCTGTTCTCGTGTTGAGTCACTTACACCCTAGCTGGTTTACCTGCTCGTTACATTAATTGTTTAACCAAATAACTATATATATAATGTTACTTGTTATTAATTTTGAGTATGGCGAGTGAGTAGAAAGTCTTTAATGATTAGGTCACACATACACTAATTAATTAGTAATTACATTATGTTAGTGGTTATATAGTTTAATTAGGACCGTTTGTAAATTACTCTTATTTAAATGAAAACAATTATTTGCAATCTAACATGTAATGTTCATTGGCGTACGTATATATTGTACATTTACCCGTACCCAGAGAGTATTTTATGGCTTTTTTAATAAATAGATGGAGCATATTTATATAATCAACTGTGGCACACTTTTCTTTAAGTCTTAATTGTGTAATTAATTCCATTGGTTTTCATCTATAAAATTCATGACTAAGATTTCCACCATCACCATTATCACTCACTTATTTTATACACTATGATATGATGCATTGATTTGGGACATGAATTCGAGGCCACACATTATAAAACAGTTTATAGCAAAAGACTGTTATTATACGGGACTAATGATTAAAGTATTAAAAATTTTAACAGATATACATACTTTTAAATTGGAATTTCATAATCTAAAAATAATATAAATAAAAAAATAATAATAATTTATGGCATAATATTAATGATTATTCCACACATGGGGCTGTCAAAGACCCTTGATATGGCTAAAAACCAAGAGGCAAATTCCTTGAACTTGGTTATAATTTAAGTAAATCCTATAAATTCACCATGTGCTTTGACCTCATTTCCAAGTAAAATGATTATACCATAGACAATTGAAATACCTCGTGCATGGATTTCTTGAATTAGAGGAGTGTGTGCTTTGGATGATTTGTTTTTTTCTTCACATATTATTGTGCATGTTGAAGTAAGTAAAATAATTGGATAATGTATTTTTACAAAAATGTTTGGAATGAAAAGGTGTGGTCAATTTTGATCATATAATTGTACTTTTGAAACTACCATATGTATAAAAAAAATTATAAAGAAATATACTATTTATATATTATTGTAAATTAATGGTTTTTTTTTAAAAAAAAAATGTAATATTAATATAAAACATTTATTGAAAAACTATTTTTCACCTGACACTCTAATGTGAAAACAAGTGTGAACAAACACAAATTTTTATACGCGGCAACACAAGAACAGTTGAAAAGGGAAAAGCTACGAACGAATTCAAAAGAGCACACTACGAACGAAGCAGGAAAAGAGCGAAAGCGTAGAGCGGAGAAGCTCTCTTTCTTAATCCAATCGTTATGTGCGTAATGTGCGAGTGAGTGTTAGAAAACACAAGTTTTTATATAAGACGTCTAATATTACTGTTTATATAATTTTATTAATATATCATGAATACATATTTATTAAAAAAAATTACTAAAATAAATGAGAAAAGGCATTCATTTATATAAACACCACACACATATTCACACACATACTATCCTCATTCACAACAAAAATCTCATTTTTATTTTCTCTCTATAAAGCAAAAACATAAAAGTTCTATATAAAACATCTCCATCAAGCCACCATTTTTTTTTCCAACTCTTTTAATCATCACCGTCGTTTGATTATCAGAGAAGAAAAAAAAAAAAGAGAAAATGAAAAATCACCTGAAAATTTCCTTTGATCAGGTTGACACCATAAGATTCTAGACTGGAACCCAGCTCGATCGGATTTTTTAGTGAATTTTTTTCAGACGGGTCTCGAGGAATCTTGGGCCTTTTCTGCATGTAATGCTTTTTTTGGTTGTGGTAATTTTGTTGCTTGATCTGTTTGTGTTTTGGAATGTGAAGAATCGATGAGTGCCGCTTGGGTTTTTTGCTCTGTTTTTGACAGTTTGGTTGGAAAAATTCTCACTTGATCTTCCGTGTGGATTAAAGAGTGACTGTTGTTTGATTGATCACTGAATATTCTCGTACGAATGGGATGTTAAAGATTGGTTTTTGTTGTTGGTTTATTTGCAAAATTGTTTGATTATGATGATCGTTACAGCTGGGTTCATTTACTGAAATTTGAAGTATCATCTGTTTTGTTTAATTCTATTGCTTTTGAAGCAAGAATTTTGGGATTTTTGGATAGTGTTCTAATCAGGAATTATTAGCTTTTCTTTTTTCGAGTTTTTTTTTATTTTCCAGGCTCCTTTTGGTGGGGAATATCCTTTGTCTAAGTTTCCGTATGCTTCTTCAAATAGCAAACCTACAATTTACGCTTATGTTTTTCCTTCTTATATACTTTCTTTTTCATGTTCTGTGTTTTATCCTTTTGTTGAGACATTTTCATTTGATGCTCTTAACAATTTTGCTGTATTCCCACTTTGCCGAACTTGAATTGGTCGTGCCAAGTTCGAAAAGTGCCTCACTGTTGACTTTTTGCAGTTAAACCACAAAGCTCAACCATTTGCTATCATTCTATACTGTAATTCTGCTGCATTGCGGGTTGTTCTCGTACTTCAGACTCTTAATCAAAAATACTTTTTTGGTTCTGTGCGTATCTTCACTTCAAAATTCAGAATAGAAAATAGACAATGCTGATTGGAGCTCTTACTTTGAAATACACCTCTTTGCAGAATGCAGTACTAATGATCACCTTCTCTAAAATCACAGGTTTTTATACGATTCGAAGGTAATGCTCTTGTGCGTCTAATTAATCTTTACTTTAGTCGTGAATCAAAAATTGAAAAAAAAAAAAGAAAAAGAAAACCTTAAATACATTTTCTTGTGTTTTCCATTTTTGTGGTTTTAGTAATTTAGATACTTCGCTTAGGCCAAGTTTGGGCACTGCATAATCCGTGCCCATGGATGCCACTGCTAGTGGGCCCTCGAGCTTGCAATACCACAACATAACCGAGCAAACAATCTCTTCCCTTTCCCCTCAGCCCATCATAGCCCACCAGAGGCAAACCCGTCATTGTTTCGGGAATGTGGGCCCAGGCGAGTTCCCTTTGTCCGCAAATCCCTCAATCGTCCTCCATGTCCTCACAGCCTGCAAACTCGATCCTCAAGACCTTGCAAAACTCGAGGCAAGTGTGTTTTATTCACCACTTTTAGAAAAAAAATAAAAAAAATAAAAATCCTTTCTTTACTGAAAATATGGAATTGATCCGTATCTCCTTTTTTGCAGGCGACATGTTGGTTCTTTAAACAGCCCGCGAATTTTTCGCCCGAAAACGAGCTCTCGTTGGGCGAGCTGGCGGCACTCGACATGTGCCGCAAACGGGCCGTGTTTAAATCGATGACGATTGAGCAAAGCCAAGATTTGAAGCGAATGTGTGGAGGCTCTTGGAAATTGGTCTTGAGGTACTTATTGGCTGGTGAGTTGTGTTACAGAAGGGAAAAGGCCCAGGCGATTGCGGGCCCGGGCCACAGTCTTGTCGTGACTAATGGTGGAAGTGTGTATTCGTTCGGTTCTAACAGCTCAGGGCAGCTCGGGCATGGGAACACAGATGAAGAGTCACGTCCTCGCCTGATTAGGTTGGATTTGTTAAGATTTTTTGGTCTAATGATTAATGAGCCAGTTATATATCAGAAGTAAATGAGGTATGCACATCTTGTTTTGAAAGCATACTGTTTCGAAATGGTTCTATTTTAAGCTTTACAAAATAATCCTTTGGCATTTACATTTCTGTAAGAAGATGAACTGTCAAGAGGAGCATCTTTTCTAAAGGAAATAAAAATGTGAAAGGGATTAGTTTATAATATCATCAGATTAGTATAAGTTCAAAAAAGGCTGAATCTCAGGAATCATGGCGAAAAAAAAAAGAAAAGAGAGAGAATATTTATTCGATCATCTTTTTTTTCACTCAGGTCTCTTCAAGGGATCCGTATTATCCATGCAGCCGCGGGGCCCAGCCGAACCATGCTAATTAGCGACATTGGGCGAGTTTACGCCTTCGGAAAAGAATCTTTTGGGGAAGCCGAGTACACTGTCCAAGGGAACAACAACAATGTGATCACGACCCCTCGGCTAGTCGATTCTTTGAAAGATATATTCGTCGTGCAAGCCGCCATCGGAAATTTCTTCACAGCCGTTTTATCCCGAGAGGGAAGAGTGCACACGTTTTCGTGGGGTAAGGAAGAAAAACTCGGCCATCAGATGGATCTTAATGATGTGGAGCCCCGCCCTTTGCTGGGCCCGCTCGAGAATGTTCCGGTTGTTCAGATAGCAGCTGGCTACTGCTACCTTCTTGCTCTCGCTTGTCAGCCTAGCGGCATGTAAGCTCGTCTTTTATTTTGGATTTCAAGTATTAATATCTCTTTTTATTTTCTCAGAAAAAGTTGATAGCTTTTANCGGTGTACTCTGTGGGGTGCGGATTGGGCGGGAAGCTTGGGCACGGGAATCGAGGCGACGAGAAGCAACCGAAACTAATCGAACATTTTCGAATGTTAAATGTTGAGCCAATGGTGATTGCTGCCGGTGCATGGCATTCGGCAGTAGTGGGGAAAGACGGGAGGGTATGCACGTGGGGTTGGGGAAGATATGGGTGTTTAGGCCATGGGAATGAGAACTGTGAATCGGCACCTAAAGTGGTGGAAGAACTTAGAGATGTAAAAGCTGTTCATGTGGCCACGGGAGATTATACGACTTTTGTCGTCTCGGATTGTGGGGAAGTATATTCGTTCGGGTGTGGTGAGTCGTCGAGTCTTGGCCATAATCGAGCTGCTGCTGAAGAGCAGGTAAAATTTTTCCTCTCTTTTATTTGAAAAAGGGAACTTATGGCTCATTGTTTTACTTTTACCCTCTCTCTTAGTACCTACGGTTGAGACTGGTCAGAGAAAAAAAGACCGATTTACAGTGAAAAGACATTGAACTATGCTTTTTTGTTTGAGTTAGCCATCTTGACAAATCAGAAAAGACGCATATCGAAGCCTTCAACTGTTTGTGGTACTTGATGAGCCATGATAAAATGTGAAAATATATATATAGCTCATAGGCCAAAGTGAAGAAAAATGCTTCTTTTTTTTTTTTTTTTTTNTTTGACAAAATTCGGTTTTTATTTGAGGGCTACTTGCATCTTTAGAACATAATCGAGGTATGCTACAAATGTACCTCGCGGGAATTTTTATAATTAGACCTACTTTTGCTTCCAGAAATGCTTAATTTTAGCTGCCTTCTCATTAGTTTCATGATTACTAAATGACCGTTTGAATTTCGATTTTCATTTCATCCGACTTTCAGGAAAACAGGCACGCGAACGTGTTGACCCCACAGCTTGTGACTTCCCTAAAGCAAATGAATGAAAAGGTTGTACAGATAAGCCTCACTAATTCCATATACTGGAATGCTCACACTTTTGCTCTCACGGATTCGAATAAGCTTTACGCTTTCGGGTCAGGTGACAAAGGACAACTTGGAGTCGAGCTCGGCCCAGATCATACCGAACGGGCCAGCCCAGAACGGGTTGATATCAACCTCGGTTGAATGTCTGAATTCAAAAGGCAAAAGACAATTTGTTCGGTTATCGTTGTACATTTGCTGCTGCATATTCTGTCTGTCTTTCCATGTTTATCTGCTTTGTAAATAGAAGGAAAACAAGATTGTGAATAAGGGTAGGGATTTAGGAGCTGCAGAATTTAACGTCTTTAGAAAGTTTCTTTAGCTCTTTGTTGGCCTCAAGACCAGTAAATA